GGGGGGGCTTGTTGGGGGTGGTGATATAGGAGTGTATGGGCTTTGTGGGGAGGAGGGTGTGTGGGTGTGGGCCTCCTGTGAACAGCCCCCAGCAGCAGGTCCCCTGTACCATATGCATCCCCCTATTGCCCAGCCTTTGCTGCTGGCAGCAGGCACTTGGGGCACTCATGGCTGTGGCAGGCAAAGCCTCCTGGCAACATGCAGGTGTGGCTGAGTCCTGGGGGCCGCATATGCTGGCCCAGCCCGTTGGCACGTACATTTGAGCCAGACTGGGCTGGATCTGTGTAAGCACGTGGGGTTCATGGCATTGCAAGCGGGAGCCTCATGGAGGTGGAAGTAGAGTCCTGGTCCAATGGCATGTGACCTCTGAAAGCCTATGCATCCTGTCAGCTTTAAGGGGGGCAGCCATGGGTTGGTAACAAGTTTTTTGGAGGGCCTCACAGGCCATATTTTGCCCTCTTCTGATTTGGGGGTAGCCATTGTGAAATAATGGAAACTGAATTTAAATTGCAGAAACTAATACATGCTAACTGCTTATGTGGCATTCAAGTTCTATGGTAGGAATGTCTTCATGTAGTTTAGTTTAAGCCTCTTCTAAAGTGAATCATAAAGGTATTTTTAGGACTTGTGTGCATAGTGTTACTCAGGAAAATGCATATGAATCAACTAAAGGTTAGGGGTGCACTGATTAAATTTTTTTTTGGCCGATTTTTTTTTTATTAATCCAGCCATATCAGCTGATACTGATCTGATTGCCAGTATGCAGCCCGGAAGTTTGGAAAGCAGTGTCTGGCCAGTAAGTCTGTGTGAGGGGAAGGGTTGTGGGGGGTGCAGATGTAGACCCCTGTGATAAGGGAGGGAGTGGTGGCTGGGGCAGGGGCAGGCACTGCCTAACCGGGATGGAGCATGGGATGGAGCTCTGGGTGGCTTGTCTGAGGGGGGCGGGGGAGAAGGTGGGTGGCTCCTTCTGCTTCATGCACTCCTGGGGAAAAATGGGGGGGCATATGGCTCCCAGATTTGTGTATAAGGTGAGGGTGGGCTGCCTGCTTCAGGGCCAGGGGCTGTGCCAACCTCTTCCCAGCAAAGTGGCTGGTCTGGGGCTGCGCTCAAAATTTGCCGTAGCCCCCCAGCCCTACCCCCCTCCAGGAAGAGGCAGGTGCAGCCCCTGGCCGCAGCCCACCCTCGTCCTGCACACAAATCTGGGGGTGCATCTGCTGGGGTGTGTGCAGCAGCAGGAGCCACACCCCCTGGACAAGCTGCCTGCAGCTCCATCCCACTTCAACCTCTCTTAACCCATGCAGATCTATGCTTTTGGTACTGAAAACAGATGCCTCCGGCACTGTCCACTGATACAGTGCTCTCATAATGGCAGGCCCTGAACTCCTGTGGCACCTTTTTGCAAGTTCACCCTGGTGGAACAAAATTACAAAATCCTGGGCCCTGAATTCTTAGCCATCTGAGTGGAAGGGGTGTATCATGGGGTACAGTACCGTAAGTTTCTGGGGTACTTCCAGAAGGCTAAGGCACTCACCCAGAGGCACCTTTGGGCACCTTCTCCTGCGCTGCTTTCCAGATAACTTACTAGGTCACTTTCACTGGGGGTAGGATCTGCGCATCCCTGGATTGGGCAAGACTAACTGGCCTTCTTCTAAACTGACTCCCTGTTAGCAGGCCATCCCAGAACAGAGAAGATAGATTGGCTTTCCTCCCACTGGTTTTGGCAGTCATGACTGCAACCCATTTCAGGCCTTTATCTGTTCTTGCAGTGTTTGTGCCCACACCAAGAAACCCATTCAGAAACCTTGCAGATTCCTCTGACCCCTTCCCCTCCTGCTCTGGCCATGATCTGCAGTCTCCCAGGTCCTCATTGTAGACCTGCCCATCTCAACAGTTGTTTTACGATCCTGACTGTAATGAACCAACTCGCTAAAATGACCCTGTGGCGGGTGCAGAGATCCCACCTCAGGAACACAGCTGGGTATTCGTATCCCTCCGCTGTTTCCACCACGTCAGGCAGGCCAGTAGGGGGTGCTCCTGCGTCGAGCCGCCCACCTCCCTGCGCCCGACCACCTTCCAGGCTCAGAATGCCTCCCTAGGGGCGTCTTATGTCCGGCCGACACCTCTCCCGGAGCACACTCGCTAGTCTGGGGGTAACGTGCAGTCACCACCCCAAGAATGGACTGTCTCGCGGCCCTGTGTCCTTGGGGTAACACAGGCCTAAAGTCCCACAGGTACTCAACCCAGTACAGGCACTTGGG